CAGGTTATCCTGAGCTGTCTCTATAGTTATGCTGCTATAGGCTTAGACTGCTGGAGGAAATAGGGACCCCTTTTTCATCATTCTGCTTCATTCTATTTCTGACCAGATTAGCTGCACCAGGAGGGCCGAAGGTCTGGGACGTCAGGAACACTGAACTGATCTATAGTGACGATTGCAGTTCTATTTTTGAGCTAAAAACTCAAAGATACGCTAACCCTAGAAGCAGAGCAGGATCTCCAGATCATGGAGCTCAGCAGACAGAGGATCCATGGAGGACTAATAAGCAGGACAGGAAAATAAGATGAAGACTTTCTGAGTTTAGTAACGTTTTTATTGGCATTTCTGAAGACCATTTTACAACAGATTTAATAAATCATACTTCTAGAGAAAGGGAGAGAGCAAAAGTATCATTCTACCAACTGCTGTCTTGCTTCTTATATCAACAAGCAAACTATTCACCATAGGAAAAAAGAAAAAAAAAAAAAAACAACAAAAAAAGTTTAAACTCAACATCCAGGGTTTGTGTCATTTATTCATTCAGGAACAGAAAGGACAGTTTAACATGTTTTACCTTTCATTTGGTAAAAGGATGAAATCATTTAGTAGTGAGGAAGAAGAAAGGATCTGTTACCTCAGACAGAAAATACCTTCCCACCGTCTGCAGAGGGTCAAAGGTCGATAAACTGATGGAGGGGGGGAAAGAAAAGCCCAAACATTTCCCAACTGGAATCTTATGATTTATACACATGAAAATATAGATCACACAGCTGCCTGTAGATCTATACGCTCCGTTACATAGATAGTGATGATGGAAGAGAAGACCGTCGCTCGTCCAGGAAGAGACATCAGGTTGTCCTGGCAACCAACAGCAGATCGGGGCGGGGAGGCGGTGACTTAGAACCCTGCAGACGAGAACAGACAGAGGAGGTCATCAGTCAGAGACGAGGTCCTCTGGAGGACAAGGAAGTCCAACAGACAGATGGACAGAGACAGACCGATGGACAGAGAGAGAGAGACAGAGATGGACAGACAGAGACAGACCGATGGAAAGACCGAGAGACAGACAGAGAGACAGACCAATAAACAGACAGAGATGGACAGAGAGCGAGAGGACATGGTAGAAGAGCAGGTCTCATGGTTGGACCAACAGAGCGCAGCAAAGATGGCGTCTCCCTATCCATGGGGGGGGAGCTTCCTAGAGAGCAGAGCATGCTGGGAGTTTCTGGAGCCAAACTGATGAAAGCATCAGATAGCAGAGCTCCATCAATCTGCTGCTGACATCAGGACTGAAGGAGCCATGAGGACAGCAAGCTTCCTGTCCTCCTGCTGTCTCCATCCAGCACCTCCTCCCATGGATCTAACCAGGCAGCCAGCAGTTGAGGATAGGTTCTGCTATCTGCAGGAATACTCAGACAGCTCTGGGTGGCTGGGCGTATCATCATCATCATCATCATCATCATCATCTCCTCTGGAAGGGGAGAGAAGGGAAACAGGTGGAGGCTCTAACCTCCATCCATCCAGCTATGGCCAGGAGGTGATCCTGATGGTGGAATATCAACACCTCCATCAATCAAAGTAGGAACCATCTACATCCCGTCCTTCATGATGGTCAGCTTCTTCTGTTGCCATGACAACAGTCCTCTGCTATCAGAGCTGATGTGGTGCTGGAGACGCCAGACAACTCTGACCTCTGGTGGAGATGTGCTCCACCCAGACGTTCCTTCAGGTTTCATGAAGCAGGTTTAACAAACTCCAGCCTAGAGTCTAAACGGATTTAGCTTAAAGTCTAAACGGATCCAGCTTAGAGTCTAAACGGATCCAGCTTAGAGTCTAAACGGATCCAGCCTAGAGTCTAAACGGATCCAGCCTAGAGTCTAAACGGATCCAGCCTAGAGTCTAAACGGATCCAGCCTAGAGTCT